TATATGAATGGTAAGTGAATCCGTCCCGTCCGTAGTAACTTTTAATTTAAGTAAAAATGATTGTTTGTTGGTTTGTTGTTTAACGCCGAACTCAGCAATATTCCAGCTATATGACGGCGGTCTGTAAATAATTGAGTCTGGACAAGACAATTCGGTGATTGACATCATGAGCATCGATCCACACAATTGGGATCGATGACAAACATCAACCAAGTCAGCGAGCCTGACCACCCGAACCCGTTAGTCGCCTTTTACGACAAGCATAGTCACCTTTTATGGCAAGCATGGGTTGCTGAAGACCTTTTCTACCCCGGATCTTCACAGGTCTAAAAATGTTTGAATTAGGACAGAAATGAAACTGTACATGGGTATAGTTGTTGTTGGTCTGTACTTAGATTTGCAAAAAGCGTCTTCCATACCAGATCGGTCTGTTTCCATTAAACGTACAGTCTAATTTTTCTACAAACACGTAATTGCTCTGTGCACGAACACATTGAAATATATTATTTGGATAACGGTTACAAATATACATTGGCAGAAAACAGTATGGTTACCCTGTTTTTGCGTCTTTTGATCACACGATTACCACAAAATACAGTGACGTCATAATACGCTTGTGTTTTATGGAAAACCCAACTGTGTCCATTAATATTCATAATCATGTTGGTAAATCCTAAATTTAAATTACGTCCCTTCTGTCGATGCAGGCGTTGTCAAAAAGTACTGAGAGGAAAGAGGGGTAGCAACCGGTAACTTCCGGTTTGTTGTGTACGGGGTTACCTACGGTGTTCTTACTCGATGTCATATGCATCATATCAATGACTATCTCACAAGTAAAGGGGGCGGTCGGGTAGCCTAGTGGTTAAAGCGTTCGCTCGTCACGCCGAAGACCCGGGTTCGATTCCCGACATTGGTACAATGTGTGAAGCCCATTTCTGGTGTCCCCCGCCGTGATGTTGCTGGAATATTGCTAAAAAGGCGTAAAACCATACTCAAACACTCACGAGTAACGTGCTCAAGCCTCGTTGAGGAACACGCCGGTCGCAGGTTCACGAGACACGGTAATGAGAAGTGTCAAGTGTGAATTTTATAGTTTATAGTTTGTGTGAAGTTTATAGTTTCTTTTGCCCCGCAGTTAAGTAATATATAGTTACTAAAATAAGCACAGTTCACTTTCCATAAACTCGTATTTTTTTTAATCGTTTTCCGTTTCAAATTTTATTCAAAACACGTTTATATTTGTGAATAACGTTACATACAAATAAGGGGCGGTTGGGTAGTGTAGTGGTTAAAGCGTTCGCTCGTCACGCCGAAAACCTGGGTATGATTTCCAAAATGAGTACAATGTGTGAAGCCCATGTTCTCAGGTTTCCGACCGTTATATTGCTGGAATATACTCCATACTCCATAAAACCATACTCATTCACTCTGACCAACAAACGCTCAGATTACAGTTGCACAATTTCTCGTGCAACATGTTGGTTGGCTTGACGTCTTACGCCGCACTCAGAAATATTCCAGCTATATGACGGCGGTCTGTAAATAATTGAGTCTGGACCAGACAATCAAGTGATTGACATTATGAACATCGATCCACGCAATTGGGATCGATGACTTGCATCAACCAAGTCAGCGAGCCTGACCACCCGATCCCGTTAGTCGCCTTTTACGACAAGCATAGTCACCTTTTACGGCAAGCATGGGTTGCTGAAGACCTATTCTACTCCGGAATCTTCACGGGTCTGTGCATCATGAGCTGCTGCTTAGCGGCCATCTGCGTTACACATTGTTTCAACATAAGGTAAGGGTAGTGTTCGCACAAGACACATGCAAAGAGTGAGGGAGTTGGATTTAACTCCACTTACAACATCGTTCCAGTTATATCACGTCGTGTCTGCATTATGTGGGAGGGAAGCCTGAAGTGATGCAGGTTTGGTGAAACCCACAGGTACAGTGCTGACAAACCTAGAATCGCGGCGAAACCAACGATCATAGTATCCTAGCATACCCAAGGGACGCAACTCTGCACTGCGAATTGCGGCCCGTTAGATGACTGGACCTCGAAGAGCTCTTTCCGTTGCTTGACTAAACACCGATAGGCCTCACTAATACACAGCATTTTGTCCTTTTTCGATGGGTGAACGTTGTGCGGATGCACTCCTTTACATATGGACAGGGGCGGTCGGGTAGCCTGGTGGTTAAAACGTTCGCTCGTCACGCCGAAGCCACGGATTCGATTCCCGACATGTGTACAATGTGTGAAGCCCATTTCTGGTGTTCCTCGCCGTGATATTGCTAAAAGCGGCATAAAACCATACTCACTCATTACATATAGACCGCTTATCACTGCTTAATTTGGTATTTATGCAGACAGCTGTGGTGCCTTGCCCCTCCTGTGATTCAAGGAGTTACGAATTTGTATGACTAGGATAGTGTTAAAAGAAAAACAATTACCCCAAATCATCCCCTTTCAACGACATAACTCACTTAAAAATTGACTGTCACTTTGTGTGGGTTCGTTGGGGTATGTGTAAAAGCATGACTAAGCTGTCTTATGATAGTAGTATAATTATCATGGAAGATTATCAGTTATTACAAGAATTTAGATTGAAACCCCCTAAAGTTGATTTATGCTGTTTTCTTAGAACAGATTTGTGTTATAAACATGACGTCAGATTATTATCAGGTTGTAAGGAAATGGTTATTCATCAGAAGCCTATGATTGCATAATTTGTTTTGGGTAAACAGTACCTGACTGCCATGTGCGTTTAACATACTGTTTTAAAACAGGAATGTGAAAACATTTGTTCATCTTATCTATTGGATTCGTTTGCTTCAGGTGAGGAATAAATGCATAGATACACATGTCCCTTGTCCCACAAATCATATAGATCATGTTGTATGTCTGTATGTATGTATGTATCAACACACAGTAAGTCTTGAATTTAAGTTTTAGAAGTCAGCAAGCCCGTCATCGGCAAAACGTCGGTTTGATGCCGCCATATTTGTCAGTCGCAGATCGATGCCTATGATATTTGATTTATATTTGGTATACAATCAACAAATTAAACGTATTACACAATTCTCCAGGTTTACAAAATCAGTACAAATTACGTACAGTTTTCTGGGCTAACATATTGTTTCAGTCTGGGAATCGACACCTAACATTACATTCACATCAAATACAAGACGTCAAAAGGGCCGACACGATAAACGTGACGGGAGAGATTTCCGAAGTTGTTCATGAACCTGTGGCGGTTACTTGTGTAGGTCATTATGCGCATTTCTTTGTTGTGTTCACTAGGATGGGTCATAGCGAGGATATTCGAGAACAATCATGCAGTCAAACTCTCTGACGCTTCTCAATCTCGGGAATGTGTAAGTAGTCCGTCAGTGTTTACGTCATTTCAAGAAGACGGTCTCGTGAAATACGTATGAGCGTCAAATTGAACGTCAAAAGCCGCATGTCGTGTAAAACATTAAAATATATTCCATTAAAGGAACATTCAGTGTGAGTACACTAACTGTATTCAATTATTAGAACCATAATATAAAAATATCCGTTTGCAATAATAACTAAACTGCCGACCAAAAGAAAATATACACTATAATATTACAAACTTTATCAAATGTTACCAGGCTGAAAACAATCGGTCCAGACTCAATTATTTTACAGACCGCCGTCATATAGCTGGAATATTGCCGAGTGCGGCGTTAAAAACAAACAAATAACAAACAAACAAAATAAAACAATCGTCGAAACACTGAAAAGTTAGATCCAAAACACAACACGGATACCCATATCCAATATATTACCATCGATTAACAATTTCTTGTTTCTTTTAGTTTTAGCCATCCAACATGGGACCGGTGTATATTTTCCTTTGTCGAGTCGTTCATATCAAAATGAGGGGGCACGGGTGGCCCAGTCGTCTAAGGCGCCGCAATTCGCTGTGCAGAGTTGCGTCCCTTCGGCACGCCAGAAACCTATGATTGTGGGTTCGAATCCCGTTTCGCCCCAATTATGTTTCTAGGTTTGTCAGCACCATACCCGTGCTCGTGGGTTTCACCGAAGTGGTAAACGTCTGAGACCTGCATCACTTCGGGCTTTCCTCCCACATTAAGCTGACACGCCGTGATATGACTGGAATTCTGTTAAAAGCGGCGTTAAACCCAACTCACTCACTCACTCATATCAAAATGAACATTCAAACCATTTGTATGCTTGGGGTGGGACTTAAAATTATTTCTATTTTAAATCCTGTAAACTATTTTTTGCCTGAAACAACGTGTTGAAAAGAATAATTATTCATTGTGCGGTTTCGCATTTCAATGAACAGATAAGGCGTGTAAGAAACCAACGATCGTGGGTTCGAATCTCAGATTGACCCTGGTTATGTTTCCTGGTTTGTCTAGTAAAGGTGGAAAATACGTACTCACTTCAGGATTTCATCTTACCTCAAGCTGACCCGTTAAGATCCGGGGTGGAATAGATCTTCAGCTACCCATGCTTGCCGTAAAAGGCGACTACGCTTGTCGTAAAAGGCGACTATGCTTGTAAAAGGCGACTAACGGGATCAGGTGGTCAGGCTCACTGACTTGGTTGATGCGCATGATGTCAATCACTGGATTGACTGGTCCAGACTCGATTATTTACAGACCGCCGTCATATAGCTGGAATATTGCTGAGTTCGGCGTTAAACAACAAACAAACAAACAAACTTACCTCAACCTGACCCGCCTTGATCAATGAAAAGCGGCGTAAATCAACCACTTATTGTCACGCATCATACCGATTCCTGTCTTAGCATGCTGGTATGGGTTCAAGAAAATAGTAACAAATACATCATTGTGGTTGACAGTTAGTCATTCGACATGCCATGTTATGAAATACTGTTAAAAGCGATATTAAACCAAACACACATTCTCACTCGTCATACGAAGTCAAATATAAAAGCATGCTGGGACGGGTTCAAGAAAAGAGAAACAAATACATCATCGATGTTAACAGTTATCTATTTGAATAAAAGTTTATAACACGGGTGTTCAAGGTGTCATGGCAATACACATATTTATTTGTTTATTAGCATTTTGCAAAAACAACGCGGCCGTTGAGCTGTTGAGGTGGTCTGACGTTTGAGTCAACTGAGAGTGCATCGCCATTACTGACTGGAACAGACTTCAGCATGCCAACCTATATGAACAAAACCATATAATATACTGAACCGCAAAAGAAACGTCACCCCAAGTAACATTGCATGAAAAGTAGTCATTTAAATATCTGGGTAATTTTTGTCAAAGTTTCTAAAATTTAACATTACCTTGTCCGGAAAAATGAAACTTGATGATACAAAACAAAGCAGACGACAATAAAACCGATCGCCCAAAACGCACCACGGCAACGGCCATGGTAACCCGATCCACGTGAGTTCCGTGCAAATTGAAATGCACATGCGTTCCCCCATTTCTTGCCCTATAAAAATCCACCCGGATCGGATAACATTCATGAGTTATTGAACTGCTACCACATGCCAAGATTGACAAGAAATCAGCGACACCAAGCCCTTTGGCGATTGCAAGCTGGACAAACCGCTCGGCAAGTAGCCAATGCATTTCAAGTCCACGTAAGGACCATATACAGGCTCCAGCAACGGTACCAAACCACTAACACTACAGATGACCGACCACGAAGTGGAAGACCATGGGTCACCACCCGACGTCTGGATCGTTAGATTGTGCGACAGCATCTTCAAGATCGCTTGTTACTGCGGTGGAAACTGCTCGACAGGCCATGGTGACACACCAACGACACATTAGTGCGGACACCGTACGTCGACGATTGACGAGTAGACACCTCCACTGTCACAGGCCACACCGGGGACCCATTCTAACACCACGTCATCGCCGGGACCGTCTTCAGTGGGAAACAGAGCACCAGCATTGGCGCCATCAGCAGTGGAGAAGAGTCCGCTTCCCAGATGAGAGCCGTTACTGTATCTCAACAGCAGATGGCAGAGCGTCTGGCGACGCCTTGGGGAACGTTATTCGGATGCTTGTGTTGGTGGTCGTGGGGTGGTCCGAGCAGAATGGCATCAGAACCATGCAGAGGCCTGTCCTCAGTCACGATTTAAATCGATTAAGCACCTGTGGGACGAGATTCAAAGACGGCCAAGGCCGACAACTGCAGCTGAACTGCGTCAGGCGTTCCTAAGAGTGAGGGCTCAAGTGCCTATGGCCTTCATCAACCGCCACACGTGGTGGCGTCTACATGTCCGATCACCACAGTTTTAATCTATAGTTAGCGGCCATAACATTAATAGATTTTGAGCCTTGTGGTGGAATGAGAAACACGGACGTTCTGGTCCAAGTCGGACGCCTTGTCCACATCTGGATCTTGAATCTTCATTCAAAGTTCATTTTCGATTCAGATAGGAACTCCAGACAATTCCATTAAGACCTACAATAACACGTTGCGCGGCACACACAGCTACAACACGGCGACCAGACCAAAAGGCCATCTGTCACTGGTGGAAATATACGACTGGCAAAAGGTTAAGCAACGCTCCCTTATTTTCATACATAAGATAGCTACGCGATAAATCGCAAAGAACAATGAAGAACGAAGCGTGGTTTATTTCACGACAAAGCATTGTTCTATCATGACGTCATTTCTGGAGACTCGAACATACACTCGCAACTTGATGACGTCGTACATTGGACGACGTTGTTTTAGAGAGGGAAGAGTCTAGTGAGTTGTTATATGTACCTGGGCAAGGTAGATAACGCAATGGCCGAACGGTCGCTTCCAAAAATAGGATATATATGACACAATCGGTGTTGGCAGTCAGATATTCGACGTGAACATTGTGAGAATATACTGCAAAGACCAAATTCAACCCACCTGCTGATAAAATGTACTTTTCCGACATTGCCGCGGCGGGATTCTTTTCGGGGAGTCATCGTTATTTAAATACGGGTAAATATCTTTAAAAGGTGTACTTTTTACTAACATCCTAGCTTAGTCCTCTTGGTGCCACGGGACCATTTATGGCCCCTCACTTTTTACGCCCACTTTTCAACTGTGAATTAAGATCTCAGTAAAGTAGTTACCGCGCTTGTCGGCCTTTTTTCTGCCATGTTTGAACTTCTGACAAAAGACAGCAAATATTGATTATGCACCCATTTCACATACAAGTAACTATTTTAGTATCAGACAGCCAATTTGAAAAAAGAAATCAGTTCAGACTGGTCCCCACTTTACTGTTATTGGCGTAAGACTACTGACGTTTAATCTGCAAACTAAGTTTTTTGTTCAAGTATTGCATATTTTTATCGACTGCGAGTTAGCACGGAGCAAGTGACGAAACGACAGGGCAGATTGTCTTTCTGTTCATGATGCTGATTGACAGAAAAAAAAAAATATATGGAAAGATAGCTGTGATCGTTAATATTAAGGTGGCATAATGTATTTATGGGCAGGAAGTTTATGATCAACACGTAAACACTGAATGGCCAAGACCGAAATGATCGACAGGGCACGTTCGCATCAGCTGTGCCGCGATTTCTTGTCGACCTGTTGTCGTACATGCTCGCCCGCCTCGCCCGTTCGACAAATAACTGCTGCTTTTTTCTATATGAGATAACTAAGAGTCACGTTTGATTGATCAAATTAGCTGTCCGTGTGAATAATGTACCGTAACCGTTTCACTGTCGCAAGAGGAGATTTCCAAAGCTTGCCACGACATCTAAACGTGAGTTGACGCCATATTGTAAACAGATTTGTCAAGGTCGGTTTCAAATGCGGTACTTCGGCCCCAGTTTCTGTCGACGGTACACGCTATACAAACATAATACAACATCAACATGACTTCTAAATGATGACACCAATACCTTTATAATTTGCATTTATGTCAACTGCTTATGAATTCGACCTGCTGTAAAGTTCGGTTTCAATATGTTTTTCTTTTCATTGAAACTGTGATAATGGCTCTATGATTGGTTAGCTGAAATAGTATTTTCCGTGTGCGTAATTTACATGTAACATTCTGTGATTGTACAAGATAACTGATAATTAATTATGTATGCAGATATTATAAAATACACATTGTAAAGCTTCGCAGTAAAAAGGAATATATTATCATAATACGACAGGGTTCGTATTTCAAACATTCTGCATTGGATATTAGGTTTAATTAATTTTAAATTTACAAATTATTAATGTAGTAATGTATCGGAAGTATTTAACTTTTATTTGATACCTTATCAGGAATGAGTAAACGCTTAGTTTTTTTCGTTCAAGGATGTAACAATATGCAACTTTACTTGTATAGGCTAACCGATAGTCGTTGATTTCCCGCCGCTTTGAATTTATCGTCTGGACAGGTGCGCTTGTTTGACTTCGCGTGTTGTGACGTCAATGACGTCGCGTCAAACTGCTGATCTAAAGTTATGGTCGTATATATGGACACACGTGGCGTCAGTTTTCTAATAAATAATATTCTCCTTGACAGAACTGATCTGAACTAGAACGTAGATCTTTGTACATCACGTTTGGGATGATTTCCACAACGCCAGATGAGTATATGAGACTTTTTATCGCTTGACTCACACCGTTAGAATTTGGCACATTTTTCTAATTTTGCAATGGCGACATGTGCTTTTCATATCTCTTTAAAACAATAATGGGCGGGGAACATGGAGGACCAATGGAAATCGGATATCACGTGCAGCATATCGTGATAAGAATAAAAACAGTGGTAATACTTGACTGATTGTTAGTTTTTCATTAAGTGGAACACATTAGAAACATCTGTTCTTAACGTATACATACTTCTCTATATGCTTCTATGGTTCGCGTTTCTTTCGGCGATGAGTATATAATCCAAACTGTCGTTCGTATTGCAACATAATCTTTGAAACAGTCTGTCATGAACTAACCACGACCACGACCACACTTACAATTTCAACGAGATTTTTATCGGTAAATTAAAGTCGCGGTGGACAATTCTTGTCGGAATTATTGGAGATCTAGATTTCAAACAGGGGCGCTTGCTTGACTTTACTTGCCACATTTCGAGTGCTTCAATATTACAGTTAATGTTCAATAAATAGCAAATTTAGAACACCGGCACAATCATCGATGGCTGGGCAGTGCATATACCTTTGGGACTTGCTGAATTTCGATACTGTTGATACTTGCTGAATTTCGATACTGTTGACACGTGCGCCCCTCGTGGTTTATTCTCCCTGCAGTGTTTATTGTACGATAAACAACTCTTACTCGGCGTTTATTTCTTAAACATTCCACACCTTCATATATTATTTGTAAATAAGTGAGTGAGTGAGTGAGTTGTGTTTAACGCCGCTTTTAACAGTATTCCAGTTATACCACGGCGTGTCAGCTTGATGTGGGAGGAAAGCCCGAAGTGATACAGGTCTCAGACGTTTACCACTTCGGTGAAACCCACGAGCACGGGTATGGTGCTGACAAACCTAGAAACATAATCGGGGCGAACCGGGATTCGAACCCACAATCATAGGTTTCTGGCGTGCCCAAGGGACGCAACTCTGCACAGCGACTCGAGGCGCCTTAGACGACTGGGCCACCCATGCCCCCTGTAAATAAGTACATGTTATAAAATCGGCCTCCTTTGGATGGCTATCTAAGGTGGCAGCCCATATGGTGCCTGATTCAGATAGGCCGCCTCCGCTGTCTAGTGGTAGAGCGTCTGCCCGGAGAGCGAAAAGTCGTGTGTTCGATCCCCGGCCACTTCATACCAAAAGACGTTAAACGATGGTACTTGTTGTTACCCTGCCTGCGTTCGGCGCTAAGAGGCTTATTATTTCAATCACTGGATTGTCTGGTCCAGGCTCGAATATTTACAGACCGCCGTCATATAGCTTGAATATTGCTGAGTGCGGCGTTAAACAACAAACAAACAAACAAAACAAAACAAAACGAAGAGGCTAAAACAAGGATTGGTCGGCTTAGAGTCAGTATACTGTGTCTGGGTGGGGTATTCATGTTAAACTACGGCATGGTATCTCAGTGGGCTAGCACTATAAAATAGGCATTAGTCCGGACTATTAGCAGACACACACGTGCATGCAAGTTGCTATATAAATGCGATAGTCTTGAACGCGACGTTCAACCCCATTTCACCTCACCTGATTCAGATAAACCTGTATTTAAATATGGCTACTTCTGATTGATTGGCTCAATATGTTCGAGAATTGCTCAAGGCTGTTTTGAATAGCATTCAGTCATACTAATTATTGTGAAAAATACAAAGTGTCAAACGGTCGTAAACGTTTGCAAACAGCGTTTGAATTAACATACATCCGCCGGTCCCAGACAAGTAAAATTCAGGAAGGAGTAGTGACATTTTCTTGTAGTTGCCACGTTTACCGTTACCTAGATAGATAGCAGTCCCGTTGCACATCCTGTTTGCTGGCAAGTGAAAACAAATATCTTTGACGAGAGTAGACACAAAAAGCAAACTATTTCATTTTAAATATACAAAAAAACATGATAAAAAAATATTTTTTAAATTGTAGTTAAATTCCGGTATGGCGTTAACACACCAAGGATCATAATCGAACCTCTTGGGTTCCTGTCATCTAAAGGATTTGCGACCAATTCAATGATGAATAGGAATATGCTGTAAATTCTTACCCTGTCTGATGTGGTGAGAATGGGCATTTTCATAAGAACCCATCGGACGGACTCCGAACAGGGTGGGGTTGTAAGCGAGCCCTTGTAGGTGACGTAATGTTCATGATCCAACAGCAGCTGGCGGGGGTCCAGCTTCACTTTCTTATCCTCATCTACACAAACGTAACAATATCACATCACTAGTGACAGGGGGGCACGGATGGCAGAATACTGTTAAAAGCGGCGTTAAACCCAACTCACTCACTCGCTAGTGATAGTACGTCAGTGGTATCAGCCATCTCCATGATTATGATACAGCATCAGCTGACGATATTCACAACATATAACAATTTGCAATTGGGGCTTGTTTGTTTATTCATATAAGATGAGCACAGCATCCTTATTCATATTAACAAAGTTTCTATGCTCATCTAAACTGGCTTGCAAAAGAATGTAAACATTTGAAAATGATTAATAAATGACACTTTGTATGGATAGCGACCTCTTTGATTCTTTGTCATGCCGTTTCTGAGCTAATTAATCAGGTTAATGCTCAGTATTTATGTTCTCCTAACTTCTAAATGCCTATTAGAGACTTCACTTGAAAATTGGATTTGACTAATAATGACAAACATTATCAAAACGTCACTAGGCTAAAAAAAACAAGCGTATAGTCGACGAAGTCATCTATATCCCCCGTCCATTTTAACACGTTATGGTCCCAAACCAGGTAATTGACCCAAAAATTTTCTTAGCCCATGTCAAAATAGCTGCAATGGAAATTCTAAAATAAACATTTCTAAAACTCCTTAATATCAAATGGCACCAGTTCAGTATGTGCTTTATTTATGGACATGCAATGTTTGGCAAGGAAATATTTCTCGAAATAATACCCAGTAATATACATTTCTAAAATTCATAAATAGCAAAAGGCAACAATTCAGCATGCGTCTGATAGACATGGAAAATTTCATCCGGAATCGAACCCTACCCTTATTGTTTTCCAACTTGTTGCCATGGAAATGTAAAAAATAAAAAATACTAAAAGTGTTAAATATCAAAAGGCACCAGTTCAGTATGTGCCTGACAGACCTGCAAAGTTTTGTAAGAAAGTATTTAACGGTTTTTGAGTTACGCTCCGGAAACGAACACCACCCTTATAGAACCTAAGTCCAACTTGTTGTCATGGAAACGTAAAAAAATAAAACAATTCTAAAATTCCTAAATAGCAAAAGGCACCAGTTCAGCATGAGTCTGATAGACATGCAACATTTCGTAGAGAAATATTTAACGGTTTCTGAGTTATGCACCGGAAACGATTTCGGGACGCACACACGCACGCACGGATGACCACCCGATCCCGTTAGTCGCTTTTACGACAAGCATGGGTTGCTGAAGACCTATTCTAGAGGTTCCTCGTTTCGAGGGTGTGGTCACATCAAACACAAGAGGGTGAGTTATTGTTGGACGCGTCCTTCCGTTCAGCTATTTCAGTCAACTGCAGGTTTTGTTTGTTGTTTAACGCCGCACTCGGCAATATTCCATGTATATGCCGGCGGTCTGTAAATAATCGAGTCTGGACCAGCCAATCCAGTGATTGACATCATGAGCATCGATCCACGCAATTGGGATTCGATGACATGCATCAACCATGACAGCGAGCCTGGCCACCCGATCCCGTTAGTCGCCTTTTACGACAAGCATAGTCACCTTTTACGGCAAGCATGGGTTGCTGAAGACCTATTCTAGAGGTTCCCCGTTTCGAGGGTGTGGTCACATCAAACACAAGAGGGTGAGTTATTGTTGGATGCGTCCTTCCGTTCAGCTATTTCAGTCAACTGCAGGTTTTGTTTGTTGTTCAACGCTGCACTCGGCAATATTTCAGGTATATGACGGCGGTCTGTAAATAATCGAGTCTGGACCAGACAATCCAGTGATTGACATCATGAGCATCGATCCACGCAATTGGGATTCGATGACATATGCATCAACCAAGTCAGCGAGCCAGACCACCCGATCCCGTTAGTCGCCTCTTACGACATGCATGGGTACTGTTATATGAATATACATACCGCCCTTCAGATGCGCCACTCCATCCACGAAAGTATTGAAGGCATGGTCATGCGACTCATCCGACACCTGGAGAAGATGACAGAAACCGTGTCATTATCATTATTGCAGGATGTTAATTAACTGTTCCGTGTGGGCTGGCGTAAAGGTTGTCATCGAGCGTTAATTAAAAGCGCTGCTTACTGCCAGAATTATATAGTCTTTTTATAATCTATGAGTGAGTGAGTTGGGTTTAACGCCGCTTTTAACAGTATTCCAGTTATATCGCGGCGTGTCAGCTTAATGTGGGAGGAAAGCCCAAAGTGATGCGGGTCTCAGACGTTTATCACTTCGGTGAAACCCACGAGCACGGGTATGGTGCTGACAAACCTAGAAACATAATCGGGGCGAACCGTGATTCGAACCCACAATCATAGGTTTCTGGCGTGCCCAAGGGACGCAACTCTGCACAGCGAATCGCGGCGCCTTAGACGACTGGGCCGACCGTGTTCCCCGACTAGCACCGACTGCAGAAGATCTCGGACAACGCACTGAGTACTGGGTTAACAAAGGTGTTGAAGTTTGTAGAGAACGTGACGCTGAAACTCTCACCTGCAGGAACACTCCGATGACAGCTAAACCATCTTCTTTGTCCACGGCGTCCTGAAGGTTCCCATACTCCTTTTTGAAGTGAACCATATGCAGCTACAACAACAACACGGTGTTTTACCAACACAACATACAGTTAACTACGGTTATAACGAACTCAATGGGACCAATATGTTTTGTTCGTTATATCCATAGTTCGTTATAATCGTTTCAACTAAAGGTTCTCGCAAATGGCCGGGACCAAAAACAACAGTTCGCTACATCCGTCACTTCGTAATGAGCGTGTTCGTTATAAACGTAGTTTATCGTATTGTCAAGGAAAGGCCTAGTAGTTAAGGCGTTCGCTCGTCACGCCGAAGACCCAGGTTCGATTCCCGACATGGGTACAATGTGTGAAGTCCATTTCTGGTGTCCCCCGCCGGGATATTGCAGGAATATTGCTTAAAGCGGCGTAAAACCATACGCAATCACTCACTCAGAGAACTATCCCGACCAAGAATCTAACCAAACAAAACATCCATTGTGAGCAATGCACTGTGTAAAGAGGTGGAACATGATCAGTTTGATATCTTCAAGATATATTTTTAAATATCGCCAACTCTTAATTCGGAAACCAGTCTCACCTCCCCATCGTAGTGTTTGCCGTTGACGAGATGTTCTGAGGGAGAATGGAAGTGCACGGAGTGAAGGACGTACTCGTCGTCAGTGAAAGGCATGTCCTTCGTCACGAGGCGATCATTTTCGAAGAAGGCAAGAATCGCACCATGGCCTGCAGTCAAATGCGTGCACGTGTTGGGGTAAGAGTAGAAGGGCTTGAAGAAAGACATCCTCAAATATACAGTGTATTATATCTCATGCTATTTCTAATAAATACCCTGGACCCATTCGCCAGAGTAGCTTCGTTTTGGAGGTGAGGTGAGGTGAAATATGGGTTTAACGTCGCGTCCAAGATTATTGCACTTATATAGCGACGTGCATGCACGTGTGTGTGTGTGTGTGTGTGTGTGTGTGTGTGTGTGTGGGTGTGTGTGTGTGCGTGTGTGTGGCTGCTTGTACTAGTCCGGACTGATGCCGATTTATAGTGCTGGCACACTGAGATACCATGCCGCAGTTTAACATGAATACCCCACTCAGACACAGTATACTGACTCCGAGCCGACCAGTCCTTGTTTCAGCCCCTTAATGCCGAGCGCCAGACAGGGTAACAACAAGTCCCATCTTTTAACGTCTTTTGGTATGACGCGACGGGGATCAAACCGCGGACCTTCCGCTCTCCTGGCGGACGCTCTACCACTAGACCACGTAGGCGGTCGCTTCGTTTTGGAAATGACGTCACTACCCCAATAATCGGCTATAAACCATGCACCATGGCCTGAAATCAAAGAGAAGTAGGCGCGATAGGCTGGTCTAAGGGTTAAATGATTGGCTCGTTACGCCGATGATCCGGGTTGATTCCCCACATGGGTACCATGCCACCGCACCCACACGCCCCCTCCATCCAATCAAATGGTCGGCGTCCCTGACATAATGCCATTTTAGAAAGCGATCCTAGCGCGACAATCGAGTAACCCCTTCTTAGACTTAAGCTTACGACAGTCGCAGCGCTACAATCCGTTATGTTTTGTTTGTTGTTTAACGAAGCACTCAGCAAAAGTCCAGCTATATGACGGCGGTCTGTAAATCATCGAGTCTGGGCCAGACAATCCGGTGATTGACATCATGAGCATCGATCCACGCAATTGGGATACGATGACATGTATCAACCAAGTTAGCGAGCCTGACCACCCGATCCTGTTAGTCGCCTCTTACGACAAGCATTGTCGCCTTTTACGACAAGCATGGGTTGCTGAAGACCTATTCCCGGATCTTCACGGATGACAGTCGGTTATGAAATGGAGCCCTGGGACTTCGTCGATAACGCGATCTCGGCAAAACGGTTTCTCGAGTCTCTTATAGTGACAGAGTTACTGCAGAGTTGTGATGGCTTTCAGGAACAAATTCTAACCATTTATTTTGAGATCGCCAGACAGTGGACCTCGGTGGTGGGGTTCGTACTCGATGTCGTCAAGAGATGCACACTGTAAGTCATCAGTCTCGATATCTATGGGAGACTGTTTTAGCCCGTTACAGCAGTGGGTGTCTTCGTCTAGATTGTACCAGTGAGAAGGATCTGAAACAAATAGTGTTGTCTGAAATACAATGTAAAAGTCCTCGTCACTTGACTAGAAACACCAAATATCGCGATGATTAATTAACGAAGATAGCTGCATGTGTGCTTACCCTTACAAAATGAAAACAAGGCATTCCGCCGATCAGGAATATTACTTGCAGTGATGACCAACATGGCAAAGTGCCCTTTTCAAGAAATACCCATTTTGCTAGCGATTAACATCATCATTGAGTTTGATCACGTGATTACAATCCAGGTAAGAATAGGCATTCAGGTTTGGTTTAACATATATTTTTCACGAATGGAAAAGGATGAGGAAGAAGTTATCCAACTTAGGACACCCTCTCCTGGGTGTTTACATACATTATTTACTTATGTACAAAAGATGACGTAGGGTGACAAGTACAATAAGGAACGATGGGTTAAGAAAATGAGTGAGTGAGTTGGGTTTAACGCCGCTTTTAACATTATTTCAGTTATATCACGGCGTGTCAGCTTAATGTGTTAATTAGTTATGACGTACTAACTAAGGGATGAGCGGCTTATATATAACGTTAGTTATGACTTACATACATTAGTTATGACGTACTAGCTACGGGATGAATAGGTTATGTACAACGTTAGTTATGACTCACACACAAAGTTAGTTATGACGTACTAGCTACGGGATGAATAGGTTATGTACAACGTTAGTTATGACTCACACACAAAATTAGTTATGACGTACTAGCTACGGGATGAATAGGTTATGTACAACGTTAGTTATGACTTACATACATTAGTTATGACGTACCAGCTACGGGATGAGCGGCTTATATATAACGGTAGTTATGACTTACACACAATGTTAATTAGGACGTACTAGCTACGGGATGAGCGGCTTATATATAACGTTAGTTATGACTTACATACATAGTTATGACGTACTAGCTACGGGATGATCGGCTGATATACGTTAGTTATGACTTACACACAAAGTTAGTTATGACGTACTAACTACAGTAGGAAAAGTTTATGTACAACGTTAGTAACGACTTACATGCATTAGTTATGACGTGCTAGCTGCGGGATGTGCGGCTTATATACGGTAGTTATGACTCACATACATCTTTCCAGTTATATCGCGGCGTGTCAGTTTAATTTTGGAGGAAAGCCCGAAGTGATGCAGGTCTTAGACGTTTACCACTTCGGTTAAACCCACGAGCACGGATATGGTGCTGAAACATAATCGGGGCGAACCGGGATTCGAACCAACAATCATAGGTTTCTGGCGTGCCCAAGGGACGCAACTCTGCACAGCGAATCACGGCGCCTTAGACGTCTGGGCCACCCGTGTCCCCTGGTATGAGTGAGTGTATTTATTACACTGGTTGTGACATACAACATACTTGTGATATACTAGCGCTCCGTTATGTCTGTTGTTTAGCCAAAGGTGCTATATCTTTTCTACTAGAGTAAATGAGCATTTCTGTATAGAGATTACAGAACATAAGATAAGTAGAAATAAACAACTAGCCATGATCACCAGCACACTTTTTCATAAAATCTAACACAACTTTGAGTATATATATTTTATTAATATGTATAATATTGACGCACCTATCTAGCCACAAGGTGTTGGTTTAACAGTATGTCAAATACTAAAGATTGTACAGTGAGGGAAGTCATCCTATTTTATTTGTCAAGTGTTGTTTACTTTTGTTCATTTTATGATAAAACCCTTCTCTGTAGGTACATTGTGTATAGTAACAAGAATATTTCAATACACTGGTGGACAATAAGCACCCCAACGTGTAAATAGTGCAAAAACAATATGCAAATGTGGTGGTATACAGACCGCTGTGTCCATGTCTCTGCTGTGCTCGACTTTTGTCGTTTGTGTACTGGCTTTTGTTGGTTGGTTGGTTTGTTGTTTTACGCCGCACTCAGCAATATTCCAGCTATATGACGGCGGTCTGTAAATAATCGAGTCTGGACAAGACAATCCAGTGATTAATATCATGAGCATCGATCCACGCAATTGCGATCGATGACATGCATCAACCAAGTCAGCGAGCCTGACCACCCGATCCCATTAGTCGCCTTTTACGACAAGCATAGTCACCTTTTACGGCAAGCTTAGGTTGCTGAAGACCTATTCTACCCCGGATCTTTTTGTACTGGCATAGCGCACATGACGTGTGCGAGGTGTTGGTATGCGAATGGCAGATGACGGGCGTCGCAGGGATGTGAATGCCGCGGCCAGGTGGTACACAATTGAAATTATTATGCAATATGATGCATAGAGATAAGTTAAAAAATATGTCCCTGAACTGTAGAGGTCTGAAAAATGCATTCAAAATAAAATAAGTGTTCAGATTTTTAAAAAGTTAAAAGGCACAAATCTTCCGCCAACAGGATGCGCATTTCACAGCTGATCAGGAACAATTAATAAAGCAGCAATGGGGTTATAAAGAATGTTATATAAGTACTTATAGGAGTAATGCTTGGGGAACTGCTATATTGCTAAATAATAATTTGAATTTAAAATAAAACAATTTATTACAGATGAAAATGAAGGCAACTTTGTGGTTTTAAACATAGAAATTCAAGAACAAGTGTATACAATAGTAAATATACATGGCCCAAATATAGATAACCCTGACGTTTTTCAGAAAATAAAGGAAATTATATTAAAATTAGAAAGCGGAAGGATTATTTAATGTGGTGATTGGAATTTGATAATGGATGTGGATCTAGATACATTAAATTGTAAACATATTAATAATCCTAAGGCACGAAAGACAGTATTCGAAATAATTGATTTATTAGATTTGAAGGATCCTTGGAGAGAGTCTAACCCATACACAAGGCGTTTCACTTGTCGACAACTTAATCCAATCAAACAGGCAAGATTAGATTACTTTTTGATTTCATAAAACCTCATGTACTCAGTAAATAATAGTGAAATTCATCCAAGTATAAATTCAGACCATTCTTTGATTTCACTGACAATACACTTATCAGATATGGTAAGTGGGTTTTGGAAATTTAATAATTCTTTATTACAAGATAAGGATTATGTGGAACAAATAAAAGAAACAATACAAAACACATTACATTAATATGAGGATAAGTCTACTGAAGAAATGAAATATTTGATTGATGATCAATTATTATGGGAAATATTATTATTAGCCACAAGAGGATAATTTATTTATTATTTATCAACTGAGAAATAGAAAAATGAGACTAAAGAAAAAGCTTTATTTTCAGATTCGATGAGCTTGAAAAAAAATTAGACTCCACAAACGTTTAAGAAGTTAAGAAAAGTTTAAGAAAAAGATTATAGGAAAGATAGGTGAGATTAAAATGAATTGGACGAAGTAAATAAATTAAGGACCAAATGGGCTTTTATTAGATCAAAGGCGAAATGGATAGAACACGGCGAAAAACCTAGTAGTTATTTTGTAAAATTAGAATATCGATTTTTTTTAAAATAAGTATATTAAAGAATTACATAAAAATGATGGAACTGTAATAAAAAAACCCAGGATGAATTGCTAGCAGAAACTAAACAGTTCTATCAAAAACTGTATAGCGAGGAAGACTGTGAATTAATATATTTAGAAGAGCTTTTTTCTGATCGAGATATTCCAAGACTGTCTAACTAAATGTCATTAGACTTAGAAGGGGAAATCACCGGCAAAGAAGCCCTAGATGAACTAAAGAAAAAGAAAAATGAAAATTTATTTACAACAGCATTTTAAAATTTCTTTTGGAATGACCTTGGAAAATATTTAATAAATTCACTAAATTATGGATATAGAAATTATTAATTATCTATAACACAGAAACAGGGTCTTATTACTTGCTTACTAAAAGAAGATAAGCCAAAACTTTTCTTAAATAATTGGCGCCCAATCTCATTGTTAAATACATCTTCTACACTTGCATCACCTGTCATAGCAAATAGAATTAAAACTGTATTACCTATTATAATAGGACCAAAAGGGATTTGTTCCTTGGAGATATATTGGAGAGGTGACTAGATTGATATATGATTTAATCGATTATACAGAAAGTTATCAAATCCCAAATCTACTGGTGTTAATAGATTTTGAGAAAGATTTTGATACGATAAATAGAACGATTATGTTTAATGCACTAAAATTCTTTCAATTTGGACCAAGTATTCAAAAGTGGGTGTCAACATTTTTTAATTGCATGGAATCCACTGTAGTAGTTTATGGATTTGCGAGTCCCTTATTTAAAGATATTAAGAGGCTGTCGTCAAGGTGACCCAGTCTCGCCATATGTTTTTTATAATTTGTGCGGAAATTTTGGCAAATATGATAAGAAGTAATCCTAAAATAAAGGAATTAAGATAGGAAAATTGGACACTTGCTGCAACAATTTGTAGATGATACATCACTAAGTTTGGATGGAGTGAGTGAGTTGGGTTTAACGCCGCTTTTAACAGTATTCCAGTTATATCACGGCGTGTCAGCTTAATGTGGGAGGAAAGCCCGAAATGATGCAGGTCTCAGACGTTTACCACTTCGGTGAAACCCACGAGCACGGGTATGGTGCTGACAAACCTAGAAACATAATCGGGGCGAAACTACTAGAAATAAGCTTTCATGTTGATTTAGATAATATTGTAGAGGATAATTATAAAATAAAGCTTGGAAAATTGAGAGAGAAATGAACCTATGGACTGTAAGAAATTTGTCTCCAATAAGTAGAACTATAGTCCTAAAACCCTCTTATTGTCAAAATTGAATCATGTTTTTTCTTCCATACACAATCCTTCAAAAGATGTGATAGATACTTTTCCCGAAGGATGTTTTAAATTTGTATGGAAGGGAAAACCGGATAAAGTGAAAAGACAAATAAAGTCTCAACCCCAAAAATATGGCGGAATTAACATGCCAATTATAAAGGATGTGATTGCAGCACAAAAACTTTAATGGGTCAGAAGATTATATGATAATCACTTAAAATGGACCTATTTAGTTTCTTGCTGTATTCCAAATAGGGAGAGATTATGGTTGGCAGTTGCTTTCTATGTTGATGTAGTTATTGCTCCAAATACCATGAATCTATTTCAAAGGATGTTTTGGAAGCTTGTGCAACATACTTGTCGAAAACGAAAATGGAAACTGGTCAAGATATTATGAGACAATCTATATGGTTAAATAGTAGAATACAAATAGGAAATAGCCCGACCTTTTTTAACATTGGTCAAGCAGAGGTGTAACCTTTATTGGAGATTTAGTGGAAGACAAAGGTAAATTTTATGAATTTGATGCTTTTGTGCATATGAATGGAATCGAAATAAAATATATAGAATATTATGGAGTTGTAATGCAGTAAGGTACCGCTTTGTAAGGTAAAGGAATGCTATGTTATCAATTCTATATCTCCTCGACCAACCATGCCATTCAATATATCACATCTGCTTAACCAAAATAAGGGTAGTAAAGAATTTTACAAGACTTAAGCAGCACCGGAATTTGTTAAATTTCATGGCATTGAAAAATGGGAAAGTTGACTAAATATGACATTTTGTGAAACGGATTGGCAAGAACATATATTTCTGGCAAAAGGATGCACTGAAAGTGAAGATATAAGATGGTTTCAGTTTAAGATTATTCATGACATTCTTACAACTAACAAATATTAACATAAAATTGGATATGTTGATTCTCCTTTGTGTACTTTCTATACAAATCAACCTGAAACTATAATCCATATGTTATATGATTGTGAACATGAAAGAAAGATTTGGGAGAAACTGTATATTTGGAACTGTGGAAGGAACCAGTGATTTGAACAGAGAAAATGTTTTGTTTGGATCTTAAGGCAAACATAATAACCCACTGAATATTGAACTAATGTCTTTTAATTACAAAACAAGTAATATACTAACAATGTAGGAAAAGATTAATGCCACATTTTGAACATATACAACATAAGATAATTAGTTATTACAATGCTACAAAGTTAATATCATTTATAGATTGTTACACTGTAAACTTTTTTAGTTTCTGGTCTTCCTTCAACACTTTGTTTAAAAACCAATCTGAAATACACACTGTTACAGTACGTTGACTTTATAGACAAGAACTTATATGTATGAAAAGCTGTACATTTCTTGAATACCATATACCACAATTTTATTGAAATGAGTGAGTGAGTATTGTTTTACGCCGCTTTTAGCAATATTCCAGCAATATCACGGCGGGGGACACCAGAAATGGGCTTCACACAGTGTACCCATGTCGGGAATCGAACCCGGGTCTTCGGCGTGACGATCGAACGCTTTAACCACTAGGCTACCCGACCGCCCCTTATTGAAATGACATGTATTATGTATGCTGCACCTGCTGAGATGAATAAAGAAGGGGAAAAAATAATCGCATATTCGCCCTTGGTATGAGTCTAGTTACGTCAACACCGTACTTGTACTCGTAGGTTTTACCAACGCGCTGGACCGCCTCCATGGTCTATTGGTAGAGCGTCCGCCAGGAGAGCGGAAGGTCCGGGGTTCGATCCCCAGCCGCGTCATACCAAAAGACGTTAAATGATGGTATTTGTTGTTACCCTGTCTGGCGCTCGGCATTAAGGGGCTAAAACAAGGACTGGTCGGCTCGGAGTCAGTATAGTGTGTCTGAGTGGGGTATTCATGTTAAACTGCGGCATGGTATCTCAGTGTGCTAGCACTATAAATCGGCATCAGTCCGGACTAGTACAAGCAGCCACACACACACATACACGTGCATGCACGTCGCTATATAAGTGCAATAATCTTGGACGCGACGTTAAACCCCATTTCACCTCACCACCAACGCGCTGAACGTCTTACGAGGGTGGCTGAAAGGCTTTGAGTCTAACGACAAAGGATGAATAGTAACAGTGTGCATGTATAAAGTTTGCAAGTCCAGTTGGATGAGCGTTGAATTTGTTTGTTTGTTTTTTAAGACCGCACTCAGCAATACTCTATCTAAATGACGGCGGTCTGTAAATAATCGAGTCTGGACCAGACTATCCAGTGATTGATATCCTAGCAATTGGGATCGATGACATGCATCCATCAAGTCAACGAGCCTGACCACCCGATCCCGTTAGTATGCTTGTCGTAAGAGGCAACTAACGGGATCGGTGGTCAGGCTCGCTGGCTTGGTTGATGCATGTCATCGTATCCCAACCGCTTGGACCAATTCTCATTATGTCAAGCACTGGATTTTCTGATCCAGACCCGACTATATATCGCCCGCCGTTTTGCTAAGTGCGGCGTTAAACAACAAACAAACATATCAGTCACATAGGGAAACTATGTGTGTGTGTGTGTGTGTGTGTGTGTGTGTGTGTGTGTGTGTGTGTGTGTGTCTGTGTGTGTGCGCGCGCGTGCGTGCGTGCATGCGTGCATAATGCACCAACGTGATTATCAGGCTCGGTGTTAAGTAACCGCGTTACACTTAAATATTGTCTCACATTCCTCATTTTTAGGATCGGTGCGTACTTCAAGCGATAAAACACAACCGCCTTAGTTTTGAATGCAAAAGTAACCAATCTGTCCACAATGGTTTTATAAACTATGTTAATGTAACCATATTAAAGAATCAAAGAAGCATAGTCAAGACTTTATTTCGTATTTTATTGTTAAAATTACTTATATGGCAGTTAAACTATTTACCCAGTGTAGTTAAAGGAACACTGTCAATAAAATCAACTTACCATCCGCCGATCCAAAGTGGTAGCCGAAATGCACCTTATGATGAGGTACAGGGCACAGGGCGCTCTCGGCAGCCACATAGACGTTGGTCGCAACAACCAGGACACCAATCGGAATCAGCATCTTTATGGAGGAGAATCGTGCAGGCAGGACTATATATACACAATTGACTGAGTGATGTAACAGAGAGCGAGCGCAAATACACGCGCTTTGGTCGGATTTGCGTTTGCTTCCCTTTGATGAACTTTGAGTGAGTAAGTGAGTGAGTTGGGTTTAACGCCGCTTTTAACAGTGTTCCAGTTATATCACGGCGTGTCATCTTAATGTGGGAATGCTCGACGTGATGCAGGTCTCAGACGTTTACCACTTCGATGAAACCCACGAGCAAAGGTATGGTGCTGACAAACCTAGAAACATAATCGGGGCGAACCGGGATTCGAACCCACAATCATAGGTTTTTGGCGTGCCCAATAAACGCAACTCAGCACAGCGAATTGCGGCGCCTTAGACGACTGGGCCACTCGTGCCCCCTATGAACTTTGAGCATACACCTTACATCGTGTATTTCCGTATGTGCAATCACCACTGTCATGGTTGTTATGACCGGATTTGCAGACATTTCCAAGAATGAATTCAAAAAGCGGTGCCTCAGTAACTACTTGGTCACAGAGTATTTCCAATGTAATAGGTTTTGAAATTTCCGACTCCTTTTTAAGTATACTAGGGTTTGAAATATGGACATTTCCTTAGGTGGGGAACCATTAATTTTGTAACTTGTAAAATTTTCAAATGTTTTTACGCCGTTGAAAGTTATGCATCATTCCGAATATCAAAGGTATGTATTTGAAAAGTTCTTATGTGCTCATAGTGAGTGAGTATGGCTTTACGCCGCTTTTAGCAATATTCCAGCAACATCACGGAGGGGGACACCAGAAATGGGCTTCACACATTGTACCGATGTCGGGAATCGAACCCGGGTCTTCGGCGTGACAAGCGAACGCTTTAACCACTAGGCTATCTGACCGCCCCCGAAAGTTTCAATCATTTCAGTTAATTTGATCATATGCTGTTATCTTTGTAATCAAGACTCATATGACCTCATTAGCCTTTTACCGCTAAAGACCGCCTCCGTTGGCTATTGGTAGAGCGTCCGGGGTTCGATCCCTGGTCGCGGCATGCCAAGAGACGTTAAAAGATGGTACTTGTTGTTACCCTGCCTGGCGCTCGCCATTGAGGGGCTAAAACATGGACTGGTTGTCTCGGAGTCAGTATACCGAGTCTGAGGAGGGTATTCATGTTAAACTGCGGCATGGTATCTCAGTGGGCTAGCACTATAAAATCGGCATCAGTCCGGACTAGAACAAACACACACACACACACACACACACACACACACACACACACACACACACACAGAATTTTTGTATACACGATGCCTACATTCGGTCAGTAAGAAACGAACATTTGTAAAAACAGTTGTGTACGCAAGATGAAAAAGACATATTGGGTAATTACGAATGGTGTTGTTATACCACTGGGTTATCTAATTTCTTCATACGTAATTGTACGCACGCAACTCAAATGGTTGGTTGGTTTGTTTAACGCCGCACTCAGCAATATTCCAGCTATATGACGGCGGTCTGTAAATAACCGAGTCTGGACCAGACAATCCAATGATTGATATCATGAGCATCGACTCATGCAATTAGGATCGATGACATGCATCAACCAAGTCAGCGAGCCTGACCACCCGATCCCGTTAACAGATAATATTGATATCTTGAACGGTTTCTGCACACGAAGTAGACATTTGTAACTTCCATTATGCCATGGTCATTTTTTCTTCCTAAGTATATACAAATGTTGATAATAACGTGTTGAAGTTTGTAAATACCTTTGTCCCAGATTGGCCACAGCGCGGAGAGTTTCTTGCAAATACATAAAGGTGTGTCTGCAAGTAAAATGACACATAATTCAACTCATTTTAACAACAACTATTAAAATATCTCGCTCATCGGATGAAAAGTTTAGCCTATGGGCGAGAATAGTTTCAGATGTTCAAAACTCATGTTTTTTTTGTTTGGCAAATAAATACATGTGTGTCTACAAGTACCAGGACAAATAATTCAACTCATTTTATAGCGTTATTAAAATAGTTTTATTTTCTCAAAACTAATATTTTTGTTTTGCAAATCCACATAGGTGTGTCTACAAGTATCATGACACATCATTCAACTCATTAATTTTTAAGTTAGGATAGGATTTATGGATGAACAACTCCTTACAATGACAATTAAGAGCGACGTTTCGGTGTAGGTTCACTGTTATTAAGAAAGTGATATACAGAGTATGGTTGACAAGTATATTTACAGGTAGGAGGCAATGTTTATACAGTAGAGTAAATATCAGATGTAGTTATACTGGAGTGGAGAGGCCTGTTATGTACACTAAAGGGCAGAAATGACAATTAGTAACATAAACAAAAGGGTGAAGCCATAGATCAGTAACATAAACAAAAGGGTGAAGCCATAAATGAGTAACATACACAAAAAGGGTGAAGCCATAAATCAGTAACATAAACAAAAGGGTGAAGCCATAAATCAGTAACATAAACAAAAGGGTGAAGCCATAAATCAGTAACATAAACAAAAGGGTGAAGCCATAAATGAGTAATATTAACAAAAGGGTGAAGCCATAAATGAGTAACATAATTAAAAGGGTGAAGCCATAAATGAGTAACATAAACAAAAGGGTGAAGCCATAAATGATTAACATAAACAAAATGGTGAAGCCATAGATCAGTAACATAAACAAAAGGGTGAAGCCATAAATGAGTAACATAAACAAAAGGGTGAAGCCATAAATCAGTAACATAAACAAAAGGGTGAAGCCATAAATCAGTAACATAAACAAAAGGGTGAAGCCATAAATCAGTAACATAAACAAAAGGGTGAAGCTATAAATCCTTTCCTCACTTAGTACTCCAACTTCTAAATACCTATCAAAGAAGTCATTAATTTTTAGCGTTATTAAACTATTGTGTGTGTGGGTTAAAACAATTTTGTCCTTGGCATCTAAGTGTCCATTAGGGCAGGACATGCTTACCATTTTTGCCAACACCTGGTGTCATAACTGAGTTTCGGTGATCCATTCAGAAAATTTCCAACGCATTTGTGCCTTTAACGCCCAATGGAATCTGTTTCGTCAGAAAATGGTTATTCTCTGGCGTTAACGTCTTATATTTATAAGACTCCTAATTTTTTATTTTGCACCATCACTTAAGAACTGACCTTCACTTTGTGTGAGTTCATTGGAGTAGGAACCTTCATAGAGTGAGGGCCAGACTGTATGAACGTCGGAGCTTCAATTTACGTATATGGGGCGGTCGGGTAGCCTAGTGGTTAAAGCGTTTGCTCGTCACGCCGAAGACCCGGGTTCGATTCCCGGCATGGGTACAATGTTTGAAGCCCATTTCTTGTGTTCCCCGCCGTGATATTGCTAGAATATTGCTAAAAGCGGCGTAAAACCATACTCACTTACCCACTCTATTTACGTATGACTTAACATGTTGGAACGTACGAAACACAGGATAAATCTATACCTTTTTATACAGAATTCTAAGTATACTTAACTATGTGCCACATATGCACAGCATTTACGATTATGGCACACGCTAGAAAATACATGAAAACGATTACCATATTCACACACATCTGTAATATACATTCATTCTCAATCGAATGCTAATTTCTTTCAAGACCTGCGAAAAATGTGCAAATTTGGGGCCAAATAATACGTACATTTCAAACGTTAAACATATTGACCGCAGATTACACCTTTAGTTTCTAACATGCATCCATATGGGACATACTGTCACTTGGTGTTGTGTACGTTTCTTTTTACGCTTTTGTGATTAAACATAGTATTTTCACTGAAATATGAAAATGGATTGGTAAACAAGCGAATCGCTTATGTTAATACCGCTCCGTTACACATACTACATGATACAATTAATACATCAGAAAAGGTTGAATACAACAAATAAATTACACATGCCAAGCTAGATGTGTATATATAATAGATATATATTTGCAGTTTATATAAATCAATAAATTTACTTAATTGAGAATATGCCAGTTTGTAATTTTAAGTTTTGAATAGAATCTATTTCTAAGATTTGATCTTCCTCACTCAAATACGAATTTCTGTATAGCACTGTTTGTAAAGAGTAACCATGTTGGTAAAAATATATTTCATTTAAAAGAATATAGTAATTTTTACACACACAAAATAAATGTAAAGCAACTTCGGTATGATATCCACAAGAACAAATGTCTGTCATACAAATCTGCGTTAAGATCGCTGCAGCCAAGCACGACGCGACAGTCAATTTTTCATAATTTAAATCCCAGTGTATACCATTATCTCCCCTTCCATGTAGCAAGTTCTTAAATTGAGAAACGGTCTCTGTCCCCGTAAGGTTTTCTGGTAGACCATAGCATATTCCAGAGTTGTGTTGAGGCTGGTTTTAATGAATCTGCATGAGCTTATGTTTTGCACTTCAATGTTTGAAGATTAGCTTTATCCCTTAAGTTATAATGTGTGCTTTCCGAAACTGTATGCTGAATAATATTACAAAGATATTCGGGTGAGAGATGATTATTCATTTTGTAAAACTTTACCAATTTTGCATTGTATCTTCTGAGTAAAAATTCATGACATTGCCACATATGGTTCTAAGAGCATCTAAGGTTTTTTCAATAAATTAGACTGTTCATTAGGACAGTTATCCCAAATATTACAATAATAAAAACCTAAGTAAGATAAATGATTAATACATAGTTTCTAAGGTAGTTGGGGATAGACGATAACAATAACTTCTTAAACAATTAACCAGAGGACACAGCAAAGAGTCTTATATTACCATTTATTCCTTCAACAATGTCACTGATATAGACAATAAACAATAATGGGCCCCAAGACCGAGCCCTGTGGTACACCTATTAAGACTGCTTTTAGATCTGAGCTATAGCCATTTATAACTACCTTTTGGTATCGATTTTCTGAGTAACTGTCAAACATCTCATAAACTTTCCACAGCTACCATAATGTTGCAGTTAATATATTATTCCTTTGTGCCAAACGTTATCAAAGGCTTTTCTTATGTCACAAAATACAGCTCTAACTGCCTTACCTTCACCTAAAGCCCTTGCAATAAAGTCGTATAAATACTGATTTGAGGTGGAGTCACCCTGCGTGAATCCAGATTGTAGGTTTGTAAGCACATTATTATTCCTTATATAGTTATACACATCTTTGAATAAACATTTTTCAATATCTTTGCAAAACAATTTGTACATTCATTCACGCTATTTTTCTTATGAATAGGAAAATAGAAAATGATGTCGAGTTTTTTTATTGTATTCACCTCATAACCTAATACAATGTTAAATGAATTTTTGGTTTCAATTAGAATTAAATATTATTATAACAATCAGGATTCTGTTAGACCCTACACTTAAACGAAATCTCCGATAACACACACAATAGTTACAGGATGTATACAAATACGAACCACATTTTAATTGTAGTAGGACCACTAAGTGGTCAAACCTTACCTTTTAATCGCACCGACATATGTTGTGAATCAAATTTGAACGGAATCGGATAAATATCTCAAGTTTAACCATGCAGAGTTCTCCGTTTCGTCGCCATGGTGACTAAGATTCTCTGAACCTATCATGGCATTGTGGTTTGGGTTACATAACACACAAACATAATGAACAAAATCAGATAATATCTATATTTCGGGGCGGTCGGGTAGCCTAGTGGCTAAAGCGTTCGCTCGTCACGCCGAAGACCCGGGTTCGATTCCCGACGTGGGTACAATGTGTGAAGCCCATTTCCGGTGTCCCCCGCCGTGATATTGCTGGAACATTGCTAAAAGCGGCGTAAAACCATACTCACTCACACACTATATTTCAATCAATAGGCCGTTCTGTCCCTGTGATATTAGGATAGTAACGGAAATGATGTTACCTTGTAGAATATAGTAAGATACATCTTTGTACAACAGTAAGTTTCATGGAAATCGATCAAACGATCTGAGTCACACTCCCTTGTTTGAAAACATTAACATTGCAAACAGATGGTCGTTGATCAGAGGGAACCGAAAAATTATTAGTCATTTTCATATCTAGACAAAATAAGGAGAGGCAACTAACGGTATCGGTTGATGGGGCTCACTGACTTGGTTGATGCATGTGGACTTGGTTGATGCATGTCATCGTATCCCAACCCGTGAAGATCCGGGGTAGAATAGATCTTCAGCAACCCATGCTTACCGTAAAAGGCGACCAACGGGATCGGGTGGTCAGGCTCGCTGACTTGGTTGATGCATGTCATCGATCCAAATTGCGTGGATCGATGCTCATGATATCAATCACTGGATTGTCTGGTCCAGACTCGATTATTTACAGACCGCCGTCATATGGCTGGAATATTGCTGAGTGCGGCGTTAAACAACAAACCAACCAACCAACCATCGTATCCCAATTACGTGGATCGATGCTCATGATGTCAATCACTGGGTTGTCTGGTTCAGACTGGATCATTTACAGACCGCCGTCATATAGCTGGAACATTGCTGAGTGTGGCGTTAAACAACAAGCAAAACAAAACGAAACATTCAATCTCTGAGTGAACATTATGAACGTTTTATGGAAGACATGTGGAGAACATTTCAAATTTAACGCATCAGCGACACAAATTATGCCCGGGGGCACTTCCCCAGGGAAAAAGCATTCTTACAGTTCTCTATACTATGTCGCGTGTCAGACGTCAAGGTAGATTAGATGGTCACCTGAGCGCTGAGAGACTGGGCAACCGTCTGGAACTGGTTAGCTAGTTGAATGTAACGCATCGGCGACATTAATGATTGCCGTGGGCACC